TTTCCAACCTTAGTGATTCTGTGATTCATGGTGAATTTGGAGGTATCAATGGTATCTTCAGGTTTAGGTGACAGCCAGGCAGCTTTGTTGAACTGCATCTAGGAGCTTGGATGTTTTCTACAGAAGTGGTGGGATATAGACGTGCGCTGTGGTCTGCGACCCTGCGGCTGCAATGTAAGGGCCGTATCTGTGGTCCTCAGTCACTGGTAAAATAGGGTTAACGGTGCGAGGGTAGTACTTAAAGCTGCACCCAGGAGATGAGTTCAAAAGTGAAGATGTTGGCCTAGATACCTGTGGGATTTAGGAGCACTAACATTTTTACCTGTAGTCTCAGAGTTTGGCTCTGAGTTTGGAGTTGAGTCTTGGCTCCCCATTGTCTTCCATACATGGACACCTTTACCTGGGTCAAGCATGTGTCCCTGACCCATGTGTCTTGAAACATGGTTTTGTTCTACCGACTGGCTCTGTTGAAATGGTTTTGTGGGGTTTTTGTGCTTATTGCCTCAGTCTGGCTCCCATCTGCTTCGTATAAGTATTAGTGGGTTTTCTGTGACTCTTGGTAAAGCTGTGTGAGATCTGAAAGTCAGACTTCTCTCGAAAAGGACACATGCCTTTAAAGATCGAGATGCCTTTAAAGTCTATGGTGTGAAGCTTGGGTTTGTCTAGTAGTAAATATTTCTTAAATGAAGTTTAATGAGTTTTTCCAGGAAGCAAGTGTCCATCTCACCTTGGTGTTGGCTCCGGAGTTGTACCAGAGCTGCAGGAGCAAGAAGGTAAAAAGCCCTGCCTGGCTCAGCAGCTGAGTTCAGGAGCAGTCGGTGTGGCCATGTTTGCAGAGGTTAGCGCTGTCTGGGTGAAACACATTAGTTTCTTCCTTTGCACGAATGGGGAGAGCCTGCCTTGCCTTATCCACTGGGGAGTTGTGTGATTTAACGGATATCTGGGAATAGAAAACAGGATCTGAACTTAAATGTTGCTGCTGATTCTTTAACAGACAGCTTTGGGTATCTGCATGTGTGTATCTTCTGTGCTACGTGAACAGACTTTTTATAATGATAAAATGTTTAATGTAATAATAATTAAAAAAAAAACCTTCTATAAAAAGCCCTATCTTTCAGAAATGGGGCTGTCATTTTCCACAGAGGAAACACATTTTCCTCTGCAGTCCATGGAAGCTAAGTATGCAGTGTCTTTGAAATTCAGGCTCCATATTTACCTGCTAAGGGCAATTAGGTAGAGAGGGGGAGTTTTTTCAAAGAATAAAACATGTTGGGATCCCTACCGCTTCCTTTAGGTCCTTGGAGTCGAGACCCAGGGTTTCAGATACAGCGTAGTTAATTATTTCTGTTCTTTTTCTTTGAAGCTCCTTAGAAGCTCTGTCTGGGATTTTCAAATGAGGCCAAAAACAAGCACAAAGGTAAAGGCTTCATGAAGAAATTTGGTCATGTCTTTCCAAGAAAGCTGGCAGGGCTGTTAGGAAATACCGTGCGCAGCCAGAGCAGCCTGGCAGAGCTCCTGGTGGCACGCTGGTGTTCCACTGGTCATTCTCCCACGCCGATACCCAGGAAGGTTGGCCATCTTCAAGTCAAATTGGTGGCGTTTCTAAATATTTCTGTTGTTGTATAGTAGAGCATAATGTCTTAAAATTTCTTGATCTTGGAGTCATATCTCAAAAGTGGATGTTTAGCTTATAAAATACTTAACAATGGATGTTCTGTCAGTAGGTCCCAGGAGAATTTGCAGTGCTATAGATCCATATCACTATTAGTGCATACACTTTTGTTACGTTTTACATCTCTCCCAGCTGTACATAATTTTCCCTATTTAAGGGAAAGCAAGAAAGCTTCAAGTCAGAGAAAGTAGCTAGTGACACTCATTAAAACCCCACGCCGTGATAATCTCTTTCCGTGTAATGAAATTTCAGTGAGCTTTACATTGCTTTGCTTTGTCTGTGCAGATAGTTGCAGCAATAATGGCAATCACAGGAATCGTAATGATGGCATATGCAGATGGCTTCCAGGGCGATTCAATTATCGGGGTGGCATATGCTGTTGGATCAGCCTCTACATCTGCATTGTATAAGGTAGGTCATAACTGTTTATTAGTATTCTTATATTCTTTAACATTGGATGTTAAAAATGCATGAGTACAAAGCAAATCACTATAAAATTAATGTTTTATTTTATTCATCCCTCCTGCATCGTTCATAGTGTGACCAGGCAATGTCACGATGTCAGGAAATCTACTGCGAGGGTAATTAGTTGTTGGCTGCCAAATACTCAGAATGACTTTGCTTTATAAGCCTTTAATGAAATCTCCATTACTGGGCTGCAAGGAGTTTAGGATCATGTTTTAATCATTTCCTGCCACCGTCGTTTATCGACACCATTTCGAAGGGGCTTGCCACACGCAGCAGGGAGGAGAGCCTGAATGCGGGTAGTGCCGCTTTCCCTGAGCGGGGACGGACGGCTCGTCCCTGCTCTGCACTGCAGCTCTCTTGCATATTCTGCGCTCGTGCTGGGCTTGGAGCCCCTGTGCGTGCCTGCCGCAGGCGACGCGCGAGAGACACGCAGGGCTTTGCCCCCTGCTTGAAAGCAGTGGCTGCTCTTGAAGGTGAGGGACGAAGAAGGCAGGCACATGTCTGAGTTAGTTGGAAACAGGTTGGGCTAAAGGTGGCTGTATTTATTGTCAGCTCAGGGAGGTTGAAGTGTGTGTAAAGAGAAGGAGAAGTTTGGAGTTAAGGTGTAGTGGGATGAGAAATGGGCTCCCAGCTTTAGATTTTGCTTGTCTCGCCACTCAAAATGCATGAATTCAGGCTGGTGTAGGACAAATCCTCCATGAGGCTTGTGCTGCCTGTCAAGCTGAAGCAAGTCCCTCTAGGCTCGGCTTTCCTCTCACAGCAGGTTCATGCTGTGGAGGTCACTGGAGTCCCCTCACAAATCCCAGTGGTGCCAAGCACAGCCCAAATCCTGTAACTTTTGTTGCATGAATGGTGTTGTCCTTGGGTTCTTAATAACACTTGCTCCTCATGGCATTCTGTGTTAAGCTTTGTTGTACAGACTCAACCATCATAACCACTGTGATAACATGGTATCCCACTCTGTGCTAAAAGAGGGCAGAAATTCAACCAAAGCTCCCCTTGCAAAACTCTTCTGCAGGAAAGGGCCAAGTTGTGGCATGCTGTCCTGCTCAGGGCTGGCCCTGTGCCCCGCTCCGCCCAAGGGAGCGGAGGACTTTGTGCAGGAAGACTTTGCTTCCCATGACAGGCATGAGTTCTAAAACCCTCTTCCCTCCTCTCCTTTGCAGGTTTTGTTCAAAATGTTTCTTGGAAGCGCAAATTTCGGGGAAGCGGCTCATTTTGTTTCTACCCTGGGCTTCTTCAATTTAATTTTCATCTCCGTTACCCCAATCATACTGTATTTTACAAAAGTGGAGTACTGGTCCCCCTTCTCTGCTGTGCCGTGGGGTTACCTGTGCGGAGTAGCTGGCCTCTGGTTAGGTATGTGTTAAGAAAATTTACTCATTTCTCTGCTCTTCTCCCCCCTCCTCCCCCAATACAAAATTAGCCTCAGGCACAAACAGTTCCCCCCTTAAGCATCAGAGATCTCTCACAGATGAAATCTGATCCCAGTGCAAACTGGTACTCCTTGAGAAATTATTCACATTTTTATAGGAAGCCTTGACACTAATATTAACAGCAGAGAATAAACAAGATACTAAACACCCACTTTATATCTTTGCATTTCTACTGCAGTTTCATTGGTATTTCCCTGTCTCTGGCACAGCTTGATTGCTATAAATCCAATTTCAGAGGGCTGCATGTATGCAGTAGTCGCTGGCATGCACTGACACAGGGACCCACAGCACTGGGGCAGCGTTCTGCAGGTGCTGCAGGGCTCTGGGCAGAGCCTGCAAAGGCTGGTGCTGTTCCTTCTCCTGCGGTCTTCACCTCCCCTCCGCTCCTCCACAATGCTCCCTCTTTGAGCCAGAGTTGCTGTCCTTTAGGCAGGCAGAATAGCTGTTGGATTCAGCCCAGGGGCATTTTAATTTCCAGATATAACAACATCCTTTCCTTTAGTCGCGTCTCTATTATTTCATAATTGAAGAAGTTTTTGTCTCCACTATGAGTATATTAAATGGAAACAAAGAGGATGTCATTGCCCAGTACGTAGCCCGTCCAGGCAGCCGCTTTGAGAAATGGTTGGGCTGACAGTTGAGGTGCTGTGGGCACCTTGAAACTCCTCTAACCTGAATTGCAGCTGCTCTGTGAGCACCCAAGGGACAAAAAGTAGTCATAACTTACCCCCCAGAGATCTACCCAAGTGTATAATCCCAGCCAGGAGGGAACAACCCTGTGGAGCAGACAAACTTGCTCCTTTTACATAGAGGACTCACCAGCAGGACTGGTCACTGCACCATGCCCTCATTTCACACTCATATATTAAAAAAAAAAAAAAAAAAAAAAAAAAAAAATCACTGATGTAGTTATCACCTTGTGGTGTGCACACTGAGCATATATCATACTTGCAGGGTCAAGGCAGAGGAGAAAAGTCTCACTCCAGTGTTTTTCCCCATAATCATGTTTTTTTTTTCTCTGTTTTTTCCCTAGCTTTCAATATTCTGGTTAATGTTGGCGTCGTGCTTACATACCCCATTCTGATCTCTATCGGCACAGTGCTCAGCGTCCCTGGAAATGCAGGTACAAGTACCATGGTTGTTGGTGGAAAAATAAGCACATGGGCATGTAGACAGCAGAAGCAGTTTATTGTCTAAATAGTAAAAATCTGCTGTCACGTATTTCAAAAGCAAAAGCAGTTCAGTCTCCTTCGGCTTCCACAGATGTTCCTGGCGGTGGGTGTTTCAGTCGGTGAAAGCCTTTTTTTCTTTTGTCTTGACTCCTTTTCTCTGGTATGTGTCCATACCACACAAAGGAGAGGGCAGGCTGCTCCCCAGCCAGCAGCCCCAAGCTGCTGGTTGCTGCTGAGATGCGGCAGGGTCAGCGTGCTGCCTGCTGCCTGCCGCAGCAGGGCAGGGGGAATAGGTGGAAGTTTACTCCAGAATCCTATCTTGTTGAATAGCCTCTGTCTCTGCTCTTCCAGTCTCCTCCTCCACCCTCTTAGCCTCGCCAGTCCAGGTATTTGAGCATGTTTTCAAAGAAACATCTATTTTTAGGGGAATGCAGGTCAGAGCTGCAAAACAGTCAGTACCTGTAAGAGGCGGCTGAAGGGCTCAGATGTGCTGCTCTTGCTGGCTGTGGAGTTGGGAGGCTGGGCCTGGAGGCATTGACTCCAGCTTTCTGACCTGCGTGCTTCTCTCTCCCATCGCTGGTCCATGCAGCCCAGGGAGACATTATGCTGATGGCACCTGCTGTAGATAAGACTTACCATAAAGTACCTTCCCTCTCAGAGCAGAAGTGGAAACCTTGAGGCTTAGACCAGCCCTACAAGGCTTTGTCAGAGCCTGCATGAAGGCGATGAGGCGTGGAGGAGACGTGGGACTTCCAGTACTCTGAAGCTCTTAAGTCAAAGCCAGTCTCTGAACTCCAGGAGCTGGTCACTCTATAGTATTGAGAGCGGTGAGGCCAGTATCACAGCCAGAGTGCAACACGCAGGTTACAGAGAAGTGCCAGGCTAGTCTGATGCTATAGTTCATCCCGCTGCAGTTTTGACGGCATTGTGGTTTCTTCTTCACAGCTGTGGATCTGTTGAAGCATAAAATGATCTTCAGCGTAGTGAGGTTGGGAGCCACCATCATCATTTGCCTTGGGTTTCTGCTGATGCTGCTCCCTGAGGAATGGGATGAAATAACTCTGAGGTTCATCAACAGCTTGAAGGAGAAGAAAAGTGAGGATCACGCCGATGACATCACAGACTCCAGCATACACACGAGAAGCAGAAGTAGAGCTAATGGGACAGTGTCTATACCACTAGCTTAGGGCTGGTGGACTTCAACTGCACGCAGATGTATATTCTGTGAATATAGCTTAAATTTCCTCACTACTTGTATGCTTAAAAATGACATTTACTCTGAACTGGGGATGAACTGTAAGATAAGGGAAATAGATATATAATAAATGTTTACATTTATACAGTTATCAAGGAACAGGTGTAAATAACTACAATAAAATGTTTTGTAATAATAACCATTTAACCTTGTGCCTTACTGGTGGATTTAAAATACAGATCAAGTCTGCATTGTTCATGTCAATTTTGTGGCCAAAGTAGAGCCATTCTCAAGGGTACAAATCTTGGTTATTTCCAGTTAAATCTCAAAACTGAACAAGTTGACTGACTTACCTTCAAAATAAAGTGACCTTTCAGTGGGGTTGTGCTTTTGGAAAGTCACTTCAAACCTTTCCCAGCATTATTGGGAACTCATTTCTGAGGGAATCACAGAATCATTAAGGTTGGAAAAGACCTCTAAGATCATCAAGTCCAACCATCAACCCAACACCACCATGCCCAGTAAACCATGTCTACACGTTTTTTGAACACTTCCAGTGATGGTGACTCCACCACCTCCCTGGGCAGCCTGTTCCAATGCTTGACCACACCCTCAGTGAAGAAATTTTTCCTAATATCCAATCTAAACCTCCCCTGGCGCAACTTGAGGCCATTTCCTCTTGTTCTATCGCTGGTTACTTGGGAGAAGAGACCAACACCCACCTCACCACAACCCCCTTTCAGGTAGTTGCAGAGAGCAATGAGGTCTCGCCTCAACCTCCTCTTCTCCAGACTGAACACCCCCAGTTCCCTCAGCCACTCCTCATCAGACTTGTGCTCCAGACCCCTCACCAGCTTTGTTGCCCTTCTCTGGACACGCTCCAGCACCTCAACGTCCTTCTTGTAGTGAGGGGCAAAGCCAATGTTCACACTGACGTTAGGAATTACTGTCAGAAGAAATATTCCGTGACATGCAAAACATGAATTTATCATGAAGTTGCACTATGGTGAAATACGTAACGAAGACTGCTTTGCACGTAGCCTGGACGCGCTCCAGCGCTGTTAGCCCAGAGACGCAGCCCTGCAAGCTCGTCTCCTCTCCACTGAATATTGTGCCTGCAGCCAGCGGAAATCCATGGCTCAGTACCGGCGTCCTAACCCACGCGACACCCAGGACCCCGGTGGGGACAAAGGAACAGGCAAGTTCTGGCTGGAAGAGAGGTCTGTTGCTGCAAGTAGGAGAACAGCGTGTTTATGTGAGCTGTTGCCAGTTAAAGCCCTGACTTCCCTCAGACGTAGGATTTCTATCAATCAATCAGCCCTGGTCACCCAAACTGAGTAACTGAGCCGATGCTGATCATACCCTTGGCTCTGAGACTGCCTCTGCACCTTTAGCTGGCTGCACACTTGTCCCAGCCTTTGCTAAAGAACCAACCGCACTCATGACACCCGTGGTCTGCTCCAGCCTGTGACCGCGTGGCTGCAAACGCCCTGTAAACCTGAAACCCCCCATAGTGTCACCCCCCTGAAAGGCACCTGGCTGCAGCGCTAGCCCTGCGTCCCTCCCAGAGCCTCCCTGAGCTGCGCCCCTTGCCAACAACTTCCCAGCAGTGGCGCTGGATTTTGGGTGCCTGTAGAAAAGACAAAAATAGCCTTATTTATCGTTTTTTCTCCCAGAAAAACTGTGCTTCCAGCTGAATAGCAAGCTTCTCATGAGAGATTGAGCACCTCGGATCGCCAGCATCCCTGGGAAATGTCAGTGCCTATTTTCTAGAGCTCCTCCTTTGGGCAAAACAAGTATTTTTCTTAACCTCCACCATGAGAAAAAAAAAAAAATCTTTCGAAAGCCAAAACAAACCAACCAAACCACCCACTTCCTTCCCTAAGCCTGTCACTGTAATTTAGGCCGGCTCTTTTCTCTTACAGCGTTCCTAGGATCAGCCACGCGAGATGACTTTTATTTGATATGCAGACAGAAACATTTTTTTCCTTTTTTTTTTTTAAGAAGACAAACAGCTGGGAGGTACCACAGAGTGCTGAGCTCTGCTCACCTAACCATTGCTTGTGAGTTTGATTAGTAGGGGATTTTTTTTATGGTATTTCTGCCAGAGTAGAGAAAATCATTAGGGAAAGGAAGGGTTTGTTATTAGTAACACCAGTTAGATGATAACAAATGCAGTTATTGCCATTAAAAGAACAAGAGCACATCCAGCCCAAAGCCACGATTTGTGTCTGGGCTGGTCGCAAGCTCACCTCTCAGCGAGCACGTCCTGGCTGGTGCGTCCTAACGAGCCCCTCGTACTGTGCTGGTGCACACGGGGGGCCGGGCAGCCCCACGGTTCGGAGAAGTGCCCTGGGCATCGCTGGTGGCACTGATGGGGCTGGAGGGTGGCGGGCAGCCAGCCTGTCCCCAGGGCCATTAGGGCTTAATACTGCTGCAAACAAAGCAATTCATGTGAGCAAGAGCAAAAGAACAAATAATAACAAAAATATTTTTATTTGACTCTGATGGATTTTATCTTAGATGTTCGTGGCTCTGAACAGTTCCTTGCGACCCACAGAGCTAACAAAATACTTGTGTATAGTTAAAAATAAAAAAAAAAAAAAAAGGCAACAACCAACCGAGCAAAAACACTCCACAAATGTGGGCCCTTTCATCACAGGCTGCAGAATTAGGGCTGTAAGAAACCAACCCAAACAAACGTCCCCTTGGCACTAAGCCCAGAGGGGTAAGGTTTGGGTACACACACCTGGTTTCTTAAAAGTCTCTTCCACTCTTCAAGTGAGGAGGTGGGGTCAGGGTCTCATCTGCTGCTTTTGAAAGGAGCAAGACATTAAAATAACCTAAAAAAGTGAGTTATATCAACAGGAGGTACTGCTGGGATGATACTGCTTGCTGAGAGCAAACAGCACATGACAGCTCGGGCACCACCCAAAGCCGAGTTTTGGAGTTGATATATTCATTTACACCAATAGATAGTTTTAGAGATGGGGTTTAACTGCAATTTTAGCTCCTGCCAAACTGAACACATGGGGAAAAATAAACAATTCCTTTTAGCATGTACTGATGAGTACATTTTGGCAAGGAGCCTCACGGCAACATCTTCAGGCCCAGGACCGGATCCTTCAAGGAAGCTCACCGAGTATTCAGCAAGGGACAATCACGTGAAATGCCCGTGTTTGCGCCCGTTTTCCCCTGCTTGAGACGTTCCATGGCCAGGAGCCCAGCCCGTTACTGTGCCAGCCTGTCCCCTCTCCGCCAGCAGCCGCTGTGCCCGTCCCAGCCCCTCGCCGTCACCCTCGCCTCTCTGCGAACGATTTCCTCTTCCCTATTAAGCGAGGAAGGTGGTTGTTTTCCCTAGAGCGTAGCTCAGCCTTTCAGCCGGAGAAAAACCATTAAACCCAAGAAATCAGACACTAAACGGAGGCTGTTTTGCACGATCGCCCGGATGATCCATCAGAGGAACCAATAATCCCGCCTGTCAAGTGACCGATCAGCTGCGGCTACCAGCGAAGCAACGCGAGGGCTGCGTTTCGGTCGCACCGCCGCGTTTGCGCCCCAAGGAAAACGCCGGTTTGGATCCGGAAGGATTCGCCTTCACGCCGGGGCCCGGCTCTCTGGAAGGAAAACAAAACCTGCTGCGAATAACCCGCCTCGAGCGTCGCTGCCTGCGCACGCCCTCACCGGAGCGCTCAGCGACCGGGCGCCGCGGACAATGTTATCTCGGCACCACCGGTATCCTCAGCCTTGGCTGGGAGGAGATGAACATCCCCTGTTAATAGAAGCAACAAGCAGCAGAGGGAGGAACGAGGTGTATTTCTTGACTTTACAGATGTGTAATAACGGGATCTATTAGTCGTGCCGGTGTAGCCCAGCCAGTGAAACGGTGCTGGATTATTCTCCTCGCTGCTCTGATTGCTCGCGCTATCGCTAGCTAAACACGCTGCCAAGCATAATAAACGACAGCAAACCTATTCGCATCATTACAGTTCCTTCTGCTGTACTCACTGGAGATTTGCACAAAGTCCAGGCATTATTTTGGCAAAAAATCAGTGCCGCCCGTGTTCCATCTCCTCCTGTGCCCATGTTTTCTGTAATTTAAAACTCATTTTCACGGAGGACTTTCAAGGCAGAGGCAATCCGCTGTTGCAGCTGGATGTCAGACTAGTGCCCTGTGCCGAATCCTCCCTTTGGTTTGCCTTTGCTCCATGCACAGGTGAATAACAAACTGCTCCTCTGTGGGAAAATGCCCTGCCCCAAGTCATGGCACTGCCCTACTCTTGGGCTTCTCCCTGTATCTTCCTTAAAACAAGAGGATTAAGGTACTTCGAGGTCAATGATTTCGTTTTGACGATAACGAATTTACTGGAAAATCCAATTCTGGTAAGATCAGTATTGCTTACAGGTTCGAGCTGAATTTGGTGGAGGGTTTCAGGCAATAAATGAAATGGGGGAAAGATACAAAGAGCTTCCAACTCTCCCGGGAGGGACCACATGCTGTCCCTTACGGCAAAGCACAGGACCAAAGCCCCTTCCAGCCCCATGTTTCTACAGCACAGCGCTTAGGAATCAAACTGAACCCTAAATACAGCTAAAAAGGTGCATTAAATAACCGTCAGTTAAAGAAAAGGATGAGCTTCACGTCACCAGGAGGGCAGCGATGAAGCCAGCTTGAAGCTCCGGCATACATCAACCCATCCTACCCCCTTTAAATGCCATCAGCTGGTGTTAAGGGCAGGTTTGAGCAAGTGGGTTAACACAGAGTTACTTTGTGCTGTAGCAGGGGCTGTCACCGCTCATGCTGGCATCATCACGATGCCGATAGCCACCACCTCCATCGCCGCACATGCACAGCTCACCCAGCACATCCCCGCGTCCACCCGGCACCCCGCACAGCCGCGATCCAGGGAGCCCGGGTGAAGTGGGCATTTTAGCACAGCAGTTGCAAGTGATACTATTTGGGAGCCTCTTCCAATACCATTGGGCCCTTTCGGGGCCCAGTTCAACCCCAAACTTGCTCTCATTTTACCCCAGTGACCTGCAGGAGGGACATTTTTCTGCAGCCTGCTTTCCTCTCCCCACCCCAAACCCACAGCTGCTGCTCTTGGCCCTCTTTGCTTTACAAAGTAAAGGCATGTGGAGGTCAAAGCACAGCTCCAAGTACACAGGTACTGAGGTTTTAGGGACTTGCTGGGT